TGGCAGCTTTGTTTAAGATTAAGAGGGATAGATAAGGGTCCCTTGGCTGAGTTAGAAAGGGAGAGAAAAAAGGGAGAGGGAGAGACTGAGGTAAGTCAGAAAGACCCACGAGCACAGGAGAGGACACACAGACCTCATGACACAGAGCCAGGGGGCAGAGAGAGGCAGCAGAGTGGGAAAGAGAGGAAAGAAGATCATCTTCCCCAGAGACGTCCAGGGAGCTGGAGGTCAAGGAAGCACAGCTCGGGACAGAGACGGGAGCAGAGACAGGAATGGGAAGGAGAGACAGAGGCACCAAGCAAGGCAAGGAACATGCAGGATTCAATAAAAACAGGCAGAAAGAGAAATAGATGAGATCCTCACACAGACAGGCAGACAGCTCCCGGGAAGCAGGAGGGAGGAGATGGAGGGATGGAGAGAAGGAGACGGGAGCGAGGAGTTGGACGGCTCAAGGCGGAGGCCCAGTGTGGGGCTGGGGGCAGAGGTGGGTGCTGCAGGCTCAGACCTGGCCGGGACCCCGTGATGGCCTGTCTGTGCTCCTCTCAGCTCCTTACTTGATGACCATGACAGGGTGCTCTCAGCTCCCACTCAGCGTTGCACCTGTCTCCCTGGAACCTCATCAACAGCTCCCCTTTGTTGTCTGGAGAAACGTCCTGCAGCTTGGACCAGATGAAGGTCTAATAAACCTCGGGTTTCCACCAGACCAACAAGCAGCTGTTCCACTAAGACTCAGACTTGGCCCAACGGCGCTCCAGAAAGAGCCACTTCAGAGGAAGATGTGGATCTGTTAACCATCCAGCCTACAAGAAAGGCTTCACGTGAAGAGGAGCAAACCCTCCTGCACAGTGGAAATGCTGCCCAAAGCTCTGTCCTTGTACCTGATGTCAGTCCAATAACGAGGACACGGTTTTGAGAGGAAGGAAAAAGACTTTTCGTTGCTTTGCTAGCAAAGGATAGACACTGCGACTCCTATCCCAGAGGCTGGGATTCTGCCCATCAGCAGGAACAGGGGGCTTTTATAGAGGTGATTCAGAGAAGATGAGATTGGGGAGGAGAGAGGAAGGAGAGGATCAGGGAGGAGGAGAAGGTTGGGAAAAAGAAAAAAAGAAACATGCAAGTTTCAAAGCCGCAAGGGACATAGTCAAAGCATCAAGTGAACCCCGGTTTCAGAACTGCAGTCCCAGCCGTTCTAGCCACACAGGATCCAAGAGCTGCAGTCTTGGGTTGAATCTTCTGTCCTCCACACAGATCCAGACTCTGCCTGCCTCTTGGCTGGCCTGGGAGTTCCTTTGAGGTACAGAGCTGGTTTAGAATGATTCCCCCTAAATTGAGTATGAAACAGAGTGTTTGTCAAAACAAAACCTGAAATAACACAGTGAGCTCTCGCCTCTCACAGAATCAGCCCTTGTGGTACGAGGAGAAGATGACCTGGGGAAGGACGGTGCAGACTGGACCCCCTTCTTTAACCCTGTGGTCTGAGATGCATCTTACGGAGCACATCTAGTTAAGACATATTGAAGAAATTTCCTACAGTTAAGAAAGGAAGAGAAAAAATGTCCAGGCAAAATTCCCAGAGACCTATGACCCCTGCCTCCCAACCTCTCAAATCAATTTTAATTTATTTTGGATGAGAAAATAATAAGCATCAGAATTTATAAAAATTATATATGCAAATACTGTATAATTACATATATTTCTATATTATAGATTTTATTTTTATTTTTTCCACATTAGATTCATCAAAAGGAAGCATGATATCCAGAGAAATTTGGGAGAATCTACATCAGAAGGAATCTGGATGAATTCTTCCAAGGTCTCACTTACAAAATAAAAATTATGAGGCCCATTA